AACTACTTCAGTCTGTGTGCATTGAATTTATTTAATACACGAGTTTCACAATTTGAGTTGAATTACTGAAATAAACAAACTTTTCCATGACATTCTAATTTATTGAGAAGCACCTGTATTTGGTCTTGGCGGAATAGATCTGCTACGCTGCTGCTGCTGTCGGACTGCGCCATCTAGAGTTTCATGCAAGAACTCATATATATTCCTATATATATATATATATATATATTCTTGTCAAAATGACATGAGTTCGTTTGGAATTATCAGCTTTTAAGCTTTTAAGAACAAGCAGAAGCCTAGTTTCTTTGCTAGTTCCTTCGGTAGTGGGTGGAGCTAATGCACAAGCAGCAATCTCATTGGCTATCGCCCACCTATTACCCTTTGATTTCAGCAAATAAGTTAGAGTAAATGCAGACAACATAATTAAATGTTCATTACTCAGCAGCTCATCAGACTTTAGTATTTTATTAGTAGTAGAATTAGTAGTAGTAGTATCTTATCAGTATTATTAATTTAGTAATTTTTAAAGTTTTTTTTTTTAAACAGAAACACTAAATGGCCAACAATGTCTTAAGCACTAAGACCAGCCCTAAGTTCTGTCAGTATGCCAAATATGCAGTCGTATATTTTTGTTCATAAACATAGTTACCACATTTTAGTGCTAATTACTAAAGTTCTAAAATAAAAAAAATAATAAAAAAATATAATTGTAAGTGTAATTTTCTTGCTTTCAGATCATATCACATATGAATGTATCTTAGTAAAAATAGTTTTTCTTAGTGCCATTTTCCGAAGATAAGCTGATTTGGTGGAATCATATATTGCCTAGGTGTGCGCAGAGGGTAGAAGCCGCTCACAGTTTTCAGTAAATTGGACGAAATGAGCCAAAAACTAGATTCTGCACTCTTGTGATGTTTCACTGCATTTTTTTTCATGTGATTTTCTGTTTTTTTTTTTTTTTTTTTTTTGTCATGTTTTAATTAATTTTTGTGCGTGTGTGTATAGTTAATATTAATTTTTAATTTTTATTAATTTACATCAAGTTAAATGAACGGTGTGTGTTAGCAGGAAAGGTCATCCAAGAAAGTGGCAAAAATACAAAAAAAAAAAAAAAATGATGAGATGTGCCATGTCAGTGTTTGTCAACGGTAACAGCTTTGAATAGTCGAGGACGTTTGATGTTGTTTGTCTTATCACATTCCCCACAGTACTGTGCTTGAGCTGATATTGTTTTTCCTGATTAGTTTTTCATGGCTTTTTTTGCCAGAGGGAGGAAGTGGCCGTATGAAATGTTTTGCAATAACATGAATAAAGGATCGTACGGCTCCTGCAGAAATAAGCCTGAGGGCTCAGACTCACTATTACATATGCGCTGCATTATCATAATAATTCACATTCTAATATATGTTGTTATGGTTTTAATATTTTTGGTGTTGCTTGGAGAAATACGACCACTCTGTGGTGCGGTGGTACACATTCTCTAGTGCTCCCGCAGGTCTTATAATTCAGTAATTATAAAACTCTGCAGGGCAAACCAAATGATGAAACACTGCCATGGGAGGAGAACCTCACGATGTTGACAGTAATGATGGTGCTGGTGTGGCGGTAATGATCGTTTAGAGTTGCATTTCTCAAACAGGATGAAGAGCCGCTGTTCTCTAAAGACGGTCTGAGGCTGTTCTTCACCAGAGCAATCCCACAGGGAGGAAGAGGGAAGTTCTTCCACATCTCCATGTCCATTTCACAGGTACAAGCTTCAGCAATTTGGGTGTTTTTACACTTTTTGATAAAAGGCAACTATGTATTTTCATATATAAAGGAATTGTCATGGATGGTTCATGACAGGTGAGTTTAGAGCAGTATCTTTATTGCACAATTCCAAAAAACAAAACACTCAGACACAGGAGAAACAACCAACATAAAGACAAGAAAGGACAAACACTGAACTACTGTTAAACACAGGTCTTAATGAGAACTAGAACTAGACTAGAAATGGTTGAATAAATGACTAACTAATGAGAACATCCTTGGAAACAAAAACAGGAGTTAAACACAGGAAAATTAACACAGAAACAACAAGATGAAAAGAACATCAAAATAAGAGTCTTTGAACAAAAATAACCCAGTCAAAACATACAATAAAAAAAAAAAAATCTTACTAATATACTTCAGTTTCAATTGTGTTTTTTTTCTACCCACCATTACATTACAATATTTTAGATATATAAACTTTACGAGAAATTAAAACTATGTCTGCCAGAATAAAATACATTTTAATTCATGAAAATGGTTACCTGCATGTTGCTTTTAACCAGTGTGTTGTGATTTTTTTGGTAAAATACGAATTGAGAATTTTGTAGCTTTTTCATATAACACTAGTTCATAGTGAAAGATTTTCTGTCAATCATGTTAATTAAATGGCAATATTTAGACATAGCACATCTCTAAGTACTCCAAAGCAAAGAGATTAATTTTAATAACAAATATGATTAATTCAAACAAGTTCCTTCATTTTCCCAAGCTAATTTATTTTGTGATAACTAGTCACATTTCTACAGTTAAACAGCATTTAATTGATTAGTTTTAAGCCTTTACTTTAGTAATTTCTTCAAACATGCTCTACCTTCTCTGTTTGTAAAATGACACACATTCTTTTCGATTTGTTTAAATATTGTATTGATGAGTGTAATATTCTATTATTCACAACACTGTGTTCCATTATGATTGATGTCTGTTTAATATGTTTTCTTCATAAAGCCCAACAGCAGCACAGATACTCTGCAGTCCATCACATCAGGAGACTGGGACGTCACGCAGGTTCTTGCGTATGATGAGGACAGCCAGTTAATGTGAGCCAATCCACCAACACCACAAACTGAACATCAATGATTCATCTGTCATTAAAATGGGCTTCTTTTAAAGATAGTATGAAATCACAACTGACCTAAATTACTTTCTCGATTCACATTATTTTCTTCATTAATCTCAATGTATCGTTGGTGCACATTATCCCAAATAGTTTTTTCTTTTATCAAAATGTAATAACTTTCTCCACCTCTGAAATGATTTTCTTTTCGCCTGTGTTATCAAGGTCTTTTATTTTTTAACCTCACCACTACAACCACCTGCTTTTGTTCTCATATGAAACACATACTTTCTTGATTCACTCAGTACCCTGGGCATAAATATTATGGGATGTATGGTAATCTTTCAGTACCATGGTATATGTTGGTAACCAAACAGTTGACGGTAGCCATTGACTTAGTATTTTTTCAATACTGTGTAAGTAAATGTACCGTTCAACTTTGATTGAACCGTTTGGTTACCAATAGTCTTCTAAATATCTTCTTGTGTCTTCAACAGAAGAAAGAACATTTATACTTCAAATCTTTAAAGTATATTTAAAAGAAAATAAAGTTTATGCAGATAATGAAATATTAATGAAATAAAAGGCCACTTAAGTGTACCTCTTTACCTGTTAAAGAGAGTACACTTTTATGACTGCTTCTTAACACACTTATAGCACATTTACTAGTAGCATACTAAAGCAGATGTAAAGTACTTCAATATAATTTTAACCTGTACTGTTATTTAATACATATAAAGTTAAAATAGGTAACACTTTATCTTAAGGTGTCCTTGTTACACATTACATGTACTTATTATTATAGTAACAATTAATTATGCATAATTACAAGCAAGCAACCCTAATCCTAACCCTAACCATATAGTAAGTACTTGTAGTTAATTAGTATTATTCCATGGTCTGTCTGAATACTGGATTCTGATTGGCTGGCAGGTATGCAGTAAAACCGTTTAATGCACAGGTAGTTCCAAGTCAGTTTAATCACCGTTCTATATTAATGCACTGCTTTAATTGATGCACACAAACCCACACACCTCACACGCACGCACACACACACACACACACACACACACAGAGAGAGAGAGCGAGAGTCGGAGATCGCAGATCGCACATAAACTTGTTGTTAACGCTTCCCCACGATTTTTATTAATAAAAAAGCCTAGATACTAGATCGCTACATTATATTCCTCAGCAACGATGGTAAAATGGCTGTTTTTGAAGTACCTAATTGTTTGTAGAGAGAGACGCGCAGACGCAGCACGCAGGTACACACAACTGTCATCTCTCTCTCTCTCTCGATCGATCGATAATTAATTGAAATACATGCTATAATTCATTCAAATAAATGTGATCTTACCGCACTATTTCATCTCTGTGTCTGATTTAAAGCGGGCAGAATGCTAGAGCTAACGTGCCATAACTGACAAAAATAACTGACATTTTTACCCATTCGGTCAAATATTGCGCTGTAAAGAGAAATACTAGATTTAACTTGTCTATAACTTGGCAAATGACCATGGAATAAGCGGGATAATCAATGGCTAGCCGTGCATTAAAGGATTTTAAATGCACTTCGCGTCGGGCGGTTCTTTGCCTCCACGTCGTGCATTTAAAACCCTTTAATGCACGGCTAGCCGTTGATTATCCCTTACTTACTCAGTACTTAATGTATAATTACACTGTAACAAGGACACCTTAAAAGAAAGTGTAACCTTAAATTATTTTAAATGTACTAAATTGCAAATTCATCATTACAAATGTCTAACTTAAAAAAAATAAATAAAGACAAAATTGCTTGGAGTCAAGACATTTGCAAATAGGATTAAAAGATGAATATGAAACAAAACTACAGAATGTCACATTTTATTATTAGCTGTTTCAACACCAAATAAAAAGGACATCACTTTTAGAGTTCATCACACTATCTGATGTTAGCATAGGTATTGGGACAGTTGAACTTAAGGCAGATGTAAAAGATTAAAAGCTATTATTCAGTTGCAGATCTCTTGCGTGCAATCAGAGCAGTGAGTCTGCGACCCATAGACATCACCAGACTCTTGGTCTCATCCTTTGAAATGCTTTTCCCAGCCTTTAATGCAGCCAGTTCCAACTGTTGCTTGTTTTGGGGAGTTTATGCCTTTAGTCTCCTGTTCAGCTGGTGAAATTCATGTTCAGTCAGACTTAAATCTGGGTATTGACTTGGGCAATCTAAGACTTCATTTTTTTATTTTTTTTTGCCCTGATAAACTCCTTGACTGAACTGGCAGGTCATTGTCCTGATGCACTATGAAGCGCTTTCTGATGAGTCTGGTGGCATTTTCTTGAATATTGGTAGCCAAGATGGTTTTGTATCCTTCCGAATTCATTCTGCTACTGTCATCAAACATTAAGTCATCATTAAAATTGAGAGGGCCTGTTCCAGAGACAGCCATGCATGCCCATGCAATGTCACCACCTCCACCATGCTTTACAGACGAGGCTGCATGCTTAGGATCATTTGCAGTTCCCTTTTTCTCCACACTTTTTCTTTCCCATCACTTAGATAAAGGTTAAACTTTGTCTCATCTGTCCATAAAACTCTGTTCCAAAACTCTACTGGCTTTTGCAAACTCTAATCTTGCCTTTCTATTTTTGGTGCTGGTCAGAAGTTTGCATCTTGCTGGGTAGCCTCTGTAATTCTGTTTCAAAGTCTCCTGTGGACAGTAGATTGTCAGAGCATCATTCCAGCTTTCTGGAGGTTGTTGGGCCTCTGTAATTCTGTGTCAAAGTCTCCTGCGGACAGTAGATTGTCAGCTTTCTGGAGGTTGTTGGTGATTTCACAGACACGTATTTTAGGGTTCATTTTCACAGCTTTTATGATTTGTCTGTCATCAACTACTGTTGTTTTTCTCAGCCGATCAGGTCGTTGTTGGTTGCTGATGTCGCCGGTGGTTTCCAAACTCTTGATTTCTCCATGCCCTTTGTTTTTGCTATAGCTCTAATTGACTTCCTCTTTTCTTTTAGCAGCCAAACTGCTTGCTTTTCTCTCAAAGTCAGCTCTCTCGTCTTCATCCTGGTTTGTGTGTGTCGTCATCGAATGCAAGACTCAGAATGCAGAAGCAATTGATATAACTTACTTATGGAGGGCACTATATACTGTATATATATATCTCAATACATGGCATACAGGTTTTAATAGAAATTATATTAAAGTATATTGTAGTTTATCATAAATGCATGTCAGTACACGTTAACCATATTTTAAACCAATACTGTTTATGAAATGGCCTAAAAAGATGTACTTAAGTCCTAAGTGGGTCAAAAAGCACTCTTAGCTAATTGTATTTAAATGTAAACTATAATACATTTTCATTTAGTTTGAATTAACAGGCATTTAGTGTCTGACAACATTCATTTTTGAAGTATATAATTGCTGTAATAAGTACACTTTTTAAACTTATGCTGAAGTGCACTTCTTTTTCACCTTTGTATAGCTATTGTTATATGGAGTATGTTTTGATATCATATGTTTTGTATGAACAGATATTTCCTCAGCACTGAGGATGACCCTAAAAGAAGACATCTCTACAGGTACATACAGCACATACATATTCATGTTTTGTGCCGTGTGAAGTTTGGCTTGTGCTGTCACAGGCTTGTTCTCGCTGACAGTGTTAATGTATCTGTGGTTGTTCCAGCGCAGACACGGTGGGCACCTTCAACCGCCGCTGTCTGTCCTGTGATTTCACTGACAGCTGCGGGTACGTCAGTGGCTTCTTCAGTCCCAGCATGGACTATTTTCTGCTCAGTTGTAAAGGTAGACATCTCTTTGTTTCTATTTTGCTTGTTCTTACTACCACGGGTATATGTGCGAACAAGATAACATAATATATGAACATATACTGTATGATGTGTAGTAGTAATTAGAATTGTACTTTTTTTGTAAAAAAACGAAAGAAATGAAAGGTCAAGAAATACTTGCGTAAAGTCTTGGTTTGGCTGTAAAGCTGAGAATTAAAATGAGTCTCTGAACCCACCATTACCCTGACACATTTTCAGTAAACGCTTGTGAGTTGACACTGCGGTGAATGTCGATTTAGAGCCCATGAACCTTTACTTTTATATTGTCTCCTGACAAGCTTCAGTGTTACGCTAGAAGAATAGAGAAAGGGATGGAGACAGCGCAAGCAGACGCATTGTCAAAGAGCATGTTGTTATTGTTCAACAGTGAAGTTTCCATTCTGCAAAGTGCATTGATTATTTGGAGGGCTTGTTTCTACAGCAGCTGATGTGTTCTGAAGGCTTGAATGCTTGTATTCACTGAACCGTTGTGACAGAACTCCTGGAGAAATGACTGTTGTGTTTACGATCAGTGCTGTTGTGCCACTCGTTAAAGTTTCACTGCAGATGCTCATTAACAAAAGCTTTTAAGCACCTTTTTCAGTTTAGTGGCAGGCTGTTTATAAAATACACTTTAGAGAACTTGTAAAATGACTGGATAAACTGCTCTTGAGTCTTGCTGACATATAAACTATGACTTAATACATAACAATCACATACCTTTATTTATACTATGGTTATTAGCTTTGGATAAAAGCATCTGCTACAATGCATAAATGTAGTTATAAAAATTGTTGTTTGTATGTTTGTTTTTAAGGTAGTTTCGAATAGTTTTGATTTGACATAAATAGCTATAACATTATTTTTCTTAATTATCATATCTCACTTTTAGCATAACACTGCAAATTGTTCAAACACTCTATGAGAAACTGTGTGATGATCCAAACTAGATTTTTAACAAGAAAATGTGGGTAGGCAGGCAGAAATTGAAAGACAGATCGCCAAGTAATTGCACAACTTTCTGTAAGAAGAATGTTGATTTGAAGTATCATGTAGCACAAATGATTCAGGCTGTGTTACATATAGAAATGTAAAGGTTCTTTCATATTTACCGTTGTTTAGCAAATTTCCCAGGTGAAATACAGAAATCCATAGGAATCCACAAAATGTAGAGTTTTGCATGAATGTGAAAGATTTCCCCATGCAGATTTTAGTCATTTTTAAGTTGATCACAAGAATTCTCTGCACTGACCAACAGAAAGATGCTTGGTTTGAAAGTGCTTCCTCCATCAATACACTATTGACCATAAACAATAGACCTTTTTTGTCAGAACAATAATACTTTAGGGCAGTGGTTCTCAACTCCAGTCCTGGGGACCTACTGATCTGTACGCAAAGTATGCAAAGCAGTGGACTGGATTTAAGAACCACTGCTATAGGGGTAAGGTCTGTTAAAATCTCTTAAAGGGATAGTTCACCCAGAAAATGAAAATTTGCTGTTAATTCACTCATGCTCAGGCCATCCAAGATGTACAGCAGGTGGATTTTTTTTCTTCAGTGGAACAGTAAAGATTTGACACCATGGTCCTTGGTGATTCATAAAATGCAAGTCTGTTTCTACTGTCACTTTGAGAGCCAAAAACATATATAGGCAACATAAAATGAATACCCTTGGCTCCTGACAATATATTGAAGTTTTATGAAGCAAAATTATAAGTCTGTGCATGTTTTTGTTCCCGCACATATGTCATTAAGCAACAGAAATCTTGCACTCCTGACTCACATGAAGGTGTTCAGGGCTGTTTGCCTGAGGCTATGGATTAAAGGTAATAATATTTAGTTTCTTGCACAGACTGATCGTTTCGCTTCATAAGGCCTCAATATATCGTAAAGTGTCACAGTATTAATGTTGTGTTGCCCGTATATGCTTTTTTGACTCTCAAAGTGACAGCCATGGACTTTTATGAATCGCCAAGGACCATTAAAGCTAAAATTATTTAATAGCCTGAGGGTAAGTTAACAGTAAATTTTTATTTTTGGGTGAACTATCCCTTTAACCCTATGTATTAGTCATAGTAGTAGTGAAGTCAACACTGTTAATAATTGCAAATTGGTCATCAAAGTTCAAGTGCAAAAATGTGTTTGATCCAGTTGCTGCAACAGGTGATGTGAGTATGTGCAATTGTATTTCATCAGTATCATGCATGAAGAATTTATATAAAAGATTTGGACAGGATAGACGTATTCTGTGAGACACAATTGCTACAACTCCCAGCTGTGAGAATTAGTGATTGACGAACAAAAATAACATGTATACTTTTGCAAAGCATTTGTTCAAACTATGAAAACCAATGAATGTCCTGTGTCATTAATTATTGATGATTATGTTGGCATATTGTCAGGTCCTGATGTTCCGTATGTGACGGTTTACAGCACCCATGACAGACAGAGTGAGTATCCAGCTTTCCTCCTCTCTATATTGTGTGTTTGTTTGTGTGTGTGTTTGAGTTCTGGATGATCTGCTGGGTCTTACTCCTGACTGCTTACCACTGAGTAGCATGCACACACACAAACTCACACGCACACACTTACAGTACACTCACATCACCCACTGATGAATTATTAATAGTGAAAAAAAGTGAGTGATGTTACGGCCAATTATGGTAACCGATACTCGGAATTAACCCATCCAAGTACACACACACACACACACCCGAAGCAGTGGGCAGCCATTTTTGCTGCTGCGTACGGGGACGTGAGCAAGGCTCCGAATTGGGGGTTCGGTGCCTTACTCAAGGGCACCTCAGTCATGGGTATTGAAGGTGGAAGAGAGCGCTGTACATTCACTCCGCCCACCTACAATTACTGCCGGTACTGAGAATTGAGCTTGCGACCTTCGGGTTACAAGTCTGACTCTCTAACGATTAGGCCACAACTGGCCTAGGAGGCATTATAGGGAGGCATTTGATAAAAATGTAATGGCAAATCGATCAAAGGTGACAGTAAAGATTTTTATAATGCTACAAAATATTTCTATTTTAAATAAATTATTTTTTGAGCTTTCATTTGTAAATGTTTAAAGATGCTTATGAATGTCAAAAAAGTATAGTTTTCACAAAAATATTAAGCAGCACATCTGTTTTCAACATTGATAATAATAAGAAATGTTTCTTGAGCACCAAATCAGCATATCAGAATGATCTCTAAAGGATCATGTGACAGTGAAGAGTGGCATAATGGCTGCTGAAAATTCAACTTTGCCTTCACAAGGAAAAAAAAAGCATTTTAAAATATATTAATAGAGAACAGTTATTAAAAATTTTAATAATATTTCACAATATTACTATAGTTCTGATCGAATAAATGCAGCCTTGATGAGCATAAGAGACTTATCCAAAAACATTTTTAGAAAACGGTCAATGTAAATTATAGGCTATCAATAGAAAGCAAGTAAAATAGCTTTGTAGTGTGTCAATGGATGGGTAATAGATGCAGGGAACATTTTATTTTGTGACTTAATTAACCTCAATCTGTGTTGTTATCATTTATCATTTATCCTATATTTGTGGTGTATCCAAAAGTGAAAAGGAAGGTGGCAAAGTATAGGGAACTGCTTGAAAAGGTGTCCCACAAGGCCACAATTCATTTTCGGTGAGAAGGTCAAGCAGAACGAGTGGACGCAATTCTGTGAAACTGCCAGAATATGGAGCGAGCACTTGATGCAGAGAACACTGCCCCGGGCAACTGCCTTGATCGCCTACTCCTCAAAGCTGTTTAATTATCACAATTCATTCATTTTATACAGTCATAGAGTCATATTCCATTGCTCGGTCATTTCTACAGTTTAGTGGATTTGGTCCCCATGAAGCAATACTGCATTTTTTACATAAAACGTTAATCAGTTTTCATGCCACATGATTTCCCATGCATACAGTAGGTGTTGACACAAATTGATTAGTACCTGAGAAAATGATTAGTACCTAAGAATAATTTGTACAGACAAATTCCCATGTCCCAGTCATGTTTTCTCAACTTCACATTGAAATAAGGGTTACATATATATTTTTTATAGTTTTTTTTCTAAATTAGCAGTTTTGAATGTTAGTGTAAAAATTTACTTGACATAAAATACAATTTATTGTAATATTTTAATAAGAAAACCATTTAATTACTTTATGTCTCTCAAACTCCAGTTCACCCTGTTACATTAGTGCTACTTGCCATTTAAATATTAAGCGTATACCCTAAATTGCATGGGGGATTTGGGGGGGGGGGGGTTTATATGAAACCCTTTTTTAACTAAAAA